GGATTAAATTATTTATAATTAATTACATCTGTTCGTGGATGCACGGGACGGATCGCGCTTCCGGGACGGATCGGGTAGAGACAAGATACGCTTCGTAGACACTTTCTCTCTTCTGATTCTCGGCCATTTTTAAAGAACGGCGGTGAGAAAGGTGACTGTCTGAAACCGCAGCTCACCACAGATATACGCCTGAAAGTGGGCAGAAAAAGATGGCCGTCTATTCCTGGAAATGAGCAGTTTGATGCAGGATTTATAAACGACAGCTGAACTGATCCCTGATCCTGGAAGCCGGAATCAGCTTCCTTTCCTCCATCACAGGATAAAAATGTAAGAAGAAACGTCCTCCACTTTCAATGATCCATCTATGCTCTAGTAAAGCTAAGCTAAGCTAGCTGCCGTTAAGCTGAACCCCCCAGGGTATCTCTATGGTTATGCTGCAGATTGGATTTAATTCTTTGGTAATCAGTTAAAGTCATGATGGATCTGTGTCTCTGAGCTCAGTGGATCTCAGCCGTGATACTCCGTTAACCCGGGGAGCCCAATTAAAGAAAACTTAATTGATTCATTGATCTGTGGTCGATTCAGAGCACAGACGGGTTTGTGGATATTAAATCTTTGGATTAAAGAGAGCAGCAGCTAAAATGCCATCACAGATCAGGGTCTTTGAAGCTGCTGCTTCCTCTGGAGACCCATAAACTGTCAGGGTGTCGGATCCTTTAACCTACTTTTAGAGCACCAGCGCTCACAAGCACAGACGACTGCAGTGAGACCAGACATGCATGAATGAACGCTGGGCAGCACTGGATCAGGGGCGGAGATAGGAAATGTAGGGCCCTAGACAAAGACAGGCAGGGGCCCCTCTAAATTGAGAAGACAACACATAGAGCAGCCCCATTCTCCAGATAGAGAAATGTTAATAGAATAGACATCCATTATCTGTTCTAGGTTGTGTCCCTCTCTTCTTGTCCCTTTTCTTCTTGTTTTCCTCTCTATGTTTTGTACTCAGCTGACTTTTCATGCTGTCTCTAAAGGAATGAAAGATTTTTTCCAAGCACTAAGCTCACTTAGCTGATTGCTCCTTCCTATGTTTCCAAAAAGGCCAAAGTAAATAACCCAGTCCTTCTTTTCACTGTAGACAAGCCATGATCTGCTTATCTGTTCTCCATTTTTCATTTGGATGAAATAATAGCTGCATGAATCATGACAGCAGACAAGATAGAGGAGAGCAGGAGGCGGGGTTACCAATCTACTCGCTCTGGAGAGCAGAGTTCGCTGCTTTTAGATGTTGTCTCCAAAGTCTCCAGTAGCAGAAAAAAGTCTCTAGATTTGGCGCTAGGAGCTTTTTAGAAATCAAAGTGCTAGAGGGGTCTGAAAAGTGGCTAAATATAGCGACTAAAGCGCTAAGTTGGCAACACTGCTCTTTGCATGGTTTGTTTTCAAATGGTTTGCTGCTGTCTGTTTGGACCTTTCTGAACATGTGCAGCAAATGGACTGATCCAATATGGTGGACACTGAAGGGGGGGGCTGAGACACACTTAATATTATCAGCGTTCTGATGGCATTTTAGCAAAAGGATTTTTATCAACAACATAATTAATGCGCACAAATAAGGAATAGTTGTATTAACCATACATGGAAACAGAGTTTTATGGGGCCCCAGGAACTTGGGGCCCTTGGCAGCTGCCTAGTATTGCCTAATGGTAAATCCCCCCCCCCTGCCCTGGATGTTCCAGATCACACCCATCCCCATAAAGCTGTAGCATCAGCACGGAGGTGGTGGGGTCATGCTTTGGGGCCAGAATAATATAGAGAAAATTGATTCACTATTATTGAAAAAAAAAACATGTTTCAAGAGATTTTTTTTTTTAGAATAATTGATTCGTATGCAAAAGTTCAACCAATTTTTCAGACTTTTTTTCTAATTTTTCAATTTTATGATTTGCATTTCTATTGGTCCCCGAATGGACCAACCAGAAGTGTAGAAAGCGGAAAGCCGTAAATCAGGTTTAGAAAAGAATGAAAATCATTTTAAAAAGATTTAAAGAAATAAAACTAGGAGAATAAAATCTAAAATTACATTTTTGGAAAAAAGGAAACTTGGAAATAAATTATACACTGCAAGAAGATAATGATCTAGAAATAAGTCAACATTTCTTAAATTAAGTGTATTTACCTTTAATTTGAGAAGATAAATAAGATAGTTTGCCAATGGAATGAGTATTTCTACTATTAGAATAAGATAATTAGATAATATGCACTTGAAATAAGACTGCAATTGGGTTTTCTTATTTTAAATGTAAATTGTCTTGTTTCATTGGCAAAGTTTCACACTTATGTCCTCAATTCAAGAAACAATGCACTTATCTTAAGAAAAAATGACTTATTGAGATTTCAATTTTTTCCAGTTTAAAAAATAAAATTTAAAACAATATTTCAAGAAATATTTGGAAATATAAAATCTGAAAATAATAGCAAACAGTATAAACATGTTAATCTTTTTCATACAAGTTTAAAATTCCATGCAAAACTTTTATTTTATTTTTTTCATTTTTGAAGTATTTCCTCTAATGTCCATTTTTGAAACCTGACCTAAAAACTGAACGACAGTCTAAAGACGGACCGTTGCTTTGAATAATAATGGGATAAATTTGTCTCCATAGATTCGGGGATGGAGCCTGGAGGTGTGAAAATAAAATAAAATCATGCATGATGACCTGCAGACTGTCCCATAAGCTGTTTTGGTTAGAAAGGAGAGGAATTTATGGTGTGAAATAAAATTAAATGTTTTTTGGCGAAAAATCATGAAAAATAGAAACTTTCTGCCAAATAAAAAGCGGACAAACTGAGATCTGATCAAACTCTAACAGCTTGAAGGCTGTTCCTAAAACAGTCCTTACAAAACATCCCACAGCGCCCCCCCCCCATGTCTCCCGGGGAGACGGTTCCCCTGTGGTCCGGTTCCCTCATGGACCCCGTCCAGCTCCCACTAATTAAACCAAAGCAGAACAGCTTCTGTTCTCTGGGCCTGCAGCCCCCCCCTCCTGGACGCAGCGGCCTGAATGCTGAATAGCGGCTGGAACGGAGCAGAACTCTCCTAAAACCAGCAGAACCGGGCTTTGAATGAGATCCGTTTCATTGCAGACCTTCCAGCAGGAAGGTCCAGAAGAAGAAGCTGCAGCTGATCTGCAGGATTAGATCTCCACGCTGCCCTCTAGTGACCGTTCTGATTACTGCACTGAGCAGCTCTATGGATCAGAACCAGACATTACTGAAGCTTCCAGTCCAGCCGGGACCCACATGTTAACAGAACCTGCAGTCCAGGACCGAGCCATCCTGGCTCTGGGTTCTGAGACTCCAAACCGGGCCGGTCCTAATCTCAGCGTGCGAGGGCCGGCACTCCTTCAATCATAGCGGCTCCAAACCGGCTGCAGCTCCTTCCTGTGACAGTAAATAACTGAAGGAGCTGAAGCAGTGATCCAATGTTAACTCCCTAAATGATGCATGCAGCATATATAGCCCTTCCTTGTAAAATCCTAGAAACAAACTAAATTATAATAAACCTAAAATGCTTTCTTTAAACCAAACTACGATCTTCCTCTAATATTTGGTGAATTTATGTTTGAATATTTTGCAAAAAATATGTTGCAGTGCATGATGGGGTTTAGCATCTAAAGGCTAACGTTTCCCGTCTTCCGCGCATTGTTGCCAGGTTGGGATGTTTCCCGATCTGGCAGTTTAGGACGGTCGTCTATGGGTGAAAAATGTTTTTCTATAGATTAATGGCCTAAGAGATCAAGAGACTTTGGTTCAAATTGGGCGAGATTTCGTAAATCCAGGCGGTTTATTAACATGTTTTGGGCTGGAAATCGTGAACCAGTGAGATCAGGCAGCCGTGCTGATGCGGTGAGTGTGGACGTTCGCAGCAGCGGTCACTGTGGCGTCCGTGTTAATAACCAACGGCGGTAAATCTGCATTCTAGAAGTCTTGGTGATGGTTGTCCTGTGATACTTGAAGATAGATCGGTTAATACGATGTATGTTTCACATTTGAGATGCACGCGTTGGACTGTGCTTCTATTTTTCATTTCAAGTAAAGAAAAAAAGGAAAATATCAAATTGAAAAGTTAAAAAGTTAATAAGCCTCGTTAATAATTATATTTAGGTTTATAAACTTAAAAATGTAGATGCCAGTATCAGCATGAATGCCTCTAAGGTTATGTTGGACCAATAAAATGTGTTTCTTTCACTGTCTGAGTGTTTTTCATTTATTTCTTCTACAAGCACTTTTGTTATTTTTTTTAATATATTCAAGCAAGTTGGCGTCTCTTATTATTACATTGACATTAATTTTTACCATCAGAATATCCAGATTTTTTAATGTTCCAAAGGAAATAAGGTCTTATCCTGGATTCCAATAAAACTATTGGCTGGAAATGTGGATTTCCAAAGTATTTCACTGATGCGCTATAAAGGGTTAACCTTAGAATCGGTCGCCATGTCTGGAAGCACAAACGTCTCCCAGACATATTTTAATATTCCTGCAGACAAACAGAACCAGTGATTCTGATCCTTCTGCATCCAGAACCAGTGAACCTGAACCCAGCAGCTGCAGGACCATCATCATCCTCAGCAGCGTCGCATCGGATCAAACAGAACCGCGTCTTTCTCAGATAACGTTCCATAAAAAGAAAAATCTAAGATTTGATTCAGATTTGAATTATTATAAAGTTGAAACTTCCTGTTTTCATAACTTCTGAACAGATGAAGATCTGATGTCACGTTTCTACGAGCTGAAACCAGGAACACAAATCCTACTTTTATTCACATTATTGACTTCTTCTACTGATGTAGGGACTTTATGGGCAGTTTTTGGACCTTCAGCCCATCAACGGGTCTGGATCCAGAACCACAGGAAACCAGCAGCTGCAGCTCATGGAGCTCCTCCAGGTCACAGCATGACCTGGCTTAGAAACGCGGTGCATAGATCTGCCAGCGCCTCACCTGCGATGCGGATCACAGCCCTCTCCGCCGGTTCCAGAACGTCTCCAGAGGCCGACTTGGAGCGCTTCATGCGGTGGTGCTTAGGGAGGTTCCAGGGTAACGTGTCGCCCGGAAACGGCGAGCCGCTAACGGAGCTCAGATCGCTGGAGCTCTCCTCTGACGCAGCCCGGACCAGAGGCCTCCTCCTGGGCTTCTCCTTCAGCTCCTCCATGTTCTGCATCAGAAAAAGACAATCAGGAGTTCAGAGAAGGAGGAGCGTCTGCAGGGAGCAAAGCATCAGGTCGGTCTCTCCGTTCTAAGCAGGAATAAAGTTAGAAAAGATCAATCTGACCACGATGGACAGAACCCAAACACAGCAACCACCAGGCACAGAGGTGGAGGCATGGAGATGTGGGCTTTTCTAATAACTTCCTTAACTGACTAAAGAAGGTTTGGTTTGAGAAATGTTTTTAATCCAACCAATAGTCTGGGTCTAGAGTTCAACCTGGGAACAACTTTAACATGAAAAAACTGGATATTAGCAGAACCGAAAACGTGCCAAAGGTTCGAGAAACTAGTTAAAGACTGACTAAAGACAGACTAAAGACTGACTAAAGACAGACTAAAGACAGACTAAAGACAGACTAAAACTCACTAAAGACGGAAGACAGTCTAAAAACATAGTAAAGACGGATTAAAGACAGACTAAAGACGGATTAAAGACTGACTAAAGACTGATTAAAGACAGACTAAAGACTGACTAAAGACAGACTAAAGACAGACTAAAGACTGAAGACAGTCTAAAGACATAGTAAAGACAGTCTAAAAACATAGTAAAGACAGTCTAAAAACATAGTAAAAACGGATTAAAGACAGACTAAAGACGGATTAAAGACAGACTAAAGACTGATTAAAGACAGACTAAAGACAGACTAAAGACTGAAGACAGTCTAAAGACATAATAAAGACGGATTAATGACAGACTAAAGACTGATTAAAGACAGACTAAAGACAGACTAAAGACTGAAGACAGTCTAAAGACATAATAAAGACGGATTAATGACAGACTAAAGACTGATTAAAGACAGACTAAAGACAGTCTAAAGACATAATAAAGACTGATTAAAGACAGACTAAAGACAGACTAAAGACTGAAGACAGGCTAAAGACATAATAAAGACGGATTAAAGACAGACTAAAGACTGATTAAAGACAGACTAAAGACAGAGTAAATACTGAATAAAGACAGACTAAAGACGGACTAAAACAGACTAAAGACTGACTAAAGATGTATTAAAGACAGACTAAAGTAAGACTAAAGACTGAAGACAGTCTAAAGACATAATAAAGATGGATTAAAGACAGACTAAAGACTGACTAAAGACAGACTAAAGACAGACTAAAGACAGACTAAAGACAGACTAAAACTCACTAAAGACGGAAGACAGTCTAAAAACATAGTAAAGACGGATTAAAGACAGACTAAAGACTGATTAAAGACAGACTAAAGACAGACTAAAGACTGAAGACAGTCTAAAGACATAATAAAGACGGATTAATGACAGACTAAAGACTGATTAAAGACAGACTAAAGACAGACTAAAGACTGAAGACAGTCTAAAGACATAATAAAGACGGATTAATGACAGACTAAAGACTGATTAAAGACAGACTAAAGACATAATAAAGACTGATTAAAGACAGACTAAAGACAGACTAAAGACTGAAGACAGGCTAAAGACATAATAAAGACGGATTAAAGACAGACTAAAGACTGATTAAAGACAGACTAAAGACAGAGTAAATACTGAATAAAGACAGACTAAAGACGGACTAAAAACAGACTAAAGACTGACTAAAGATGTATTAAAGACAGACTAAAGTAAGACTAAAGACTGAAGACAGTCTAAAGACATAATAAAGATGGATTAAAGACAGACTAAAGACTCAAGACAGTATAAAGACATAAAGACGGATTAAAGACAGACTAAAGACTGACTAAAGTAAGACTAAAGACTGAAGACAGTCTAAAGACATAATAAAGATGGATTAAAGACAGACTAAAGACTGACTAAAGACAGACTAAAGACAGACTAAAACTCACTAAAGACGGAAGACAGTCTAAAAACATAGTAAAGACGGAATAAAGACAGACTAAAGACTGATTAAAGACAGACTAAAGACAGACTAAAGACTGAAGACAGTCTAAAGACATAATAAAGACGGATTAATGACAGACTAAAGACTGATTAAAGACAGACTAAAGACAGACTAAAGACTGAAGACAGTCTAAAGACATAATAAAGACGGATTAATGACAGACTAAAGACTGATTAAAGACAGACTAAAGACATAATAAAGACTGATTAAAGACAGACTAAAGACAGACTAAAGACTGAAGACAGGCTAAAGACATAATAAAGACGGATTAAAGACAGACTAAAGACTGATTAAAGACAGACTAAAGACAGAGTAAATACTGAATAAAGACAGACTAAAGACGGACTAAAAACAGACTAAAGACTGACTAAAGATGTATTAAAGACAGACTAAAGTAAGACTAAAGACTGAAGACAGTCTAAAGACATAATAAAGATGGATTAAAGACAGACTAAAGACTGAAGACAGTATAAAGACATAAAGACGGATTAAAGACAGACTAAAGACTGACTAAAGACATAATAAAGACGGATTAAAGACAGACTAAAGACAGACTAAAGACAGACTAAAGACTGAAGACAGTATAAAGACATAATAAAGACGGATTAAAGACAGACTAAAGACAGAGTAAATACTGAATAAAGACAGACTAAAGACGGACTAAAAACAGACTAAAGACTGACTAAAGATGTATTAAAGACAGACTAAAGTAAGACTAAAGACTGAAGACAGTCTAAAGACATAATAAAGATGGATTAAAGACAGACTAAAGACTGAAGACAGTATAAAGACATAAAGACGGATTAAAGACAGACTAAAGACTGACTAAAGTAAGACTAAAGACTGAAGACAGTCTAAAGACATAATAAAGATGGATTAAAGACAGACTAAAGACTGACTAAAGACAGACTAAAACTCACTAAAGACGGAAGACAGTCTAAAAACATAGTAAAGACGGATTAAAGACAGACTAAAGACTGATTAAAGACAGACTAAAGACAGACTAAAGACTGAAGACAGTCTAAAGACATAATAAAGACGGATTAATGACAGACTAAAGACTGATTAAAGACAGACTAAAGACAGACTAAAGACTGAAGACAGTCTAAAGACATAATAAAGACGGATTAATGACAGACTAAAGACTGATTAAAGACAGACTAAAGACAGACTAAAGACTGACTAAAGATGTATTAAAGACAGACTAAAGTAAGACTAAAGACTGAAGACAGTCTAAAGACATAATAAAGATGGATTAAAGACAGACTAAAGACTGAAGACAGTATAAAGACATAAAGACGGATTAAAGACAGACTAAAGACTGACTAAAGACATAATAAAGACGGATTAAAGACAGACTAAAGACAGACTAAAGACAGACTAAAGACTGAAGACAGTATAAAGACATAATAAAGACGGATTAAAGACAGACTAAAGATTCACTAAAGACTGAAGACAGTCTAAAGACAATAAAGACTGATTAAAGAGAGACTAAAGACTCACTAAAAACTGAAGACAGTCTAAAGACATAACAAAGACTGATTAAAGACAGACTAAAGACTCACTAAAAACCGAAGACAGTCTAAAGACATAACAAAGACTGATTAAAGACAGTCTAAAGACATAACAAAGACTGATTAAAGACAGACTAAAGACAGACTAAAGACTGATTAAAGACAGACTAAAGACTGAAGACAGTCTAAAGCCATAATAAAGACGGATTAAAGACAGACTAAAGACTGACTAAAGACTGAATAAAGACAGACTAAAGACAGACTAAAGACTGAAGACAGTATAAAGACATAATAAAGACGGATTAAAGACAGACTAAAGACTGAAGACAGTATAAAGACATAATAAAGACGGATTAAAGACAGACTAAAGACTGAAGACAGTATAAAGACATAATAAAGACGGATTAAAGACAGACTAAAGACTGAAGACAGTCTAAAGACATAATAAAGATGGATTAAAGACAGACTAAAGACTGAAGACAGTATAAAGACATAAAGACGGATTAAAGACAGACTAAAGACTGACTAAAGACATAATAAAGACGGATTAAAGACAGACTAAAGACAGACTAAAGACAGACTAAAGACTGAAGACAGTATAAAGACATAATAAAGACGGATTAAAGACAGACTAAAGATTCACTAAAGACTGAAGACAGTCTAAAGACAATAAAGACTGATTAAAGAGAGACTAAAGACTCACTAAAAACTGAAGACAGTCTAAAGACATAACAAAGACTGATTAAAGACAGACTAAAGACTCACTAAAAACTGAAGACAGTCTAAAGACATAACAAAGACTGATTAAAGACAGTCTAAAGACATAACAAAGACTGATTAAAGACAGACTAAAGACAGACTAAAGACTGATTAAAGACAGACTAAAGACTGAAGACAGTCTAAAGCCATAATAAAGACGGATTAAAGACAGACTAAAGACAGTATAAAGACATAATAAAGACAGACTAAAGACTGAAGACAGTATAAAGACATAATAAAGACGGATTAAAGACAGACTAAAGACTGAAGACAGTATAAAGACATAATAAAGACGGATTAAAGACAGACTAAAGACTGAAGACAGTCTAAAGACATAATAAAGACGGATTAATGACAGACTAAAGACTGATTAAAGACAGACTAAAGACAGACTAAAGACTGAAGACAGTCTAAAGACATAATAAAGACGGATTAATGACAGACTAAAGACTGATTAAAGACAGACTAAAGACATAATAAAGACTGATTAAAGACAGACTAAAGACAGACTAAAGACTGAAGACAGGCTAAAGACATAATAAAGACGGATTAAAGACAGACTAAAGACTGATTAAAGACAGACTAAAGACAGAGTAAATACTGAATAAAGACAGACTAAAGACGGACTAAAAACAGACTAAAGACTGACTAAAGATGTATTAAAGACAGACTAAAGTAAGACTAAAGACTGAAGACAGTCTAAAGACATAATAAAGATGGATTAAAGACAGACTAAAGACTCAAGACAGTATAAAGACATAAAGACGGATTAAAGACAGACTAAAGACTGACTAAAGTAAGA